TTTTACAAAATGAAATTTAATTGAATTATTATTCAATTATCAGGTACATCAATTATTTACCCCTGCCATGTTATTTTTTACCCCCAAGGGGTTAATTTACCCCTGGTTGAGAATCACTGACTTAGTACCATTAAGTAATAATTGGAATTGATCTTACCTTCTAAGGGTATGAGTGCACCCAAACCCTGCCATGAAAATCATTACGGAGCCACCAGAACCATTCACTGTTGGAGCCAAGCACTCAGGGCTGTAGAGTTCTTTATGTTGGTACCACATGTGTACTAGTTCATTTATGGAGAACATGGTTGTTTGCCTGTTTTGCCTTGCAGTTTGAATTAATGCACATAAATCACAATCCTGGAGTATGCACTTCCGCTCACTGTTGCCCTTTGGTGATGATGTCTTTCCCTTGGAGTTCCATGCTGACATCACCTTAGACATCGTTGCTCATGAAACATCAGCAAGTTGAGCTGTCTTGATCACTGGAGCTCCCGCCAAACACGCCACAACAATCACCTGTCTTTCAATGTCACTGAGGTCTCTTGCAGCCGTGCTAGCCGAGGTTATAGCCAACCAGGCCTGTCCAGCATTTTTATACGTGACCCAATGCATGCTGAGATGTTATTTGTTTCATTAATGGACGAGTCACACCTGTGTGGTAGCCTCTGAATTGCATATACTTGTGTTCCTCAGTTACCCAGGTGTTTCCATTTTTTGGTCCACTACTTGTAACTAGTTTAAACTCATCTGGACTAATTTTTAGAGCTTGGTTTAAAAGCATTAAATGATAATTGTATATAATATCAGTATTGTATACTTAATAAAAATGAGTACAAGCAAAATACATATATGTGTGTGTTAAATTTTTAGAATGTCTCATAATAAATGGCTGTTGACACACATGAAAGACTTTCATTTTGGTCCCCTCATACCTGTGAACAAAAGTGTATCAACAAAAAAAACCTCTTCTGTGTAATATAGTACAAAACACATTTCCTTCCAATTATCTGCAAAACAGAATCTTTATTGTAACCATCATGACAATTGTAAGGTAAATATATTTTCTACATGCAAATAAAACAGCTTCAGATTTCATATGATTTACTTTTCTCTCTGTACAAATCATTGCCACTAAAGAGTTAGGCTGTCTGGTGGTTTGATGCATGTGTAAAACAAGTTGGTCCAGCACAACCACGTATAATGCACTTGGTTTCATCTTATTACTTTAGTATACTCTACACATTTGAGGTTCACGTGATCTTGGCAGGTTTCCTTGTTCTCTGCCACATATTGGTTTATTTTCAATTGAATCATTCTGACTCATTTCAAAATTATTTTGGCACTGTTGAAACCAATAAATTGACATTTCATGGTTTTTTGAAGACCACAGTGACATACTCTATCTGGTTACAATGGCAGTATTGGATAACACTTGGAAAAATCTCCATTTTTATGTAATAGTGTTTGATAAATGACTCTTTAAACACCCATTTCTGTTCATTTCCTCAAATGAGTACAACAAACCTCCAGGCTGTGTTAACTCAGTTTAATTAAGCCTAAATAAGTTGACAGTTTTTTTTTTCATACAAACAATATTGAAAATATTTTATAACGCACGCCATGGAGCTGTGTTTGTTTTTAGTGGAGATTACCAATTTTATTTGTATTCTTCCCTTCATGTCACACATAGATTGTCTTTCAGTTTTTCTAAACTTTTTATGTTTTTCTTTCTTAATAAAGAAAGTTAATTTCTTGAATGTGTCTTGGGAACCAATCATTTATGGTTTCTTCAAATATTTAACTCCAATTAAAAGTAGTTTCTTAGGACTTCCACTAATTTTGAAATGGATGAAGCATCCCTTGGTATACTTTTATATTTATAATGTCTCACTTATCTTTTAGTTAACTTTCAATGTCCTTGTAAATGCCTAGCAATGTGCTTACATAGTTTCTAGCATGCAGCTCCTCAAAACTTAGACTCGTACATCAGAATGATTATTCTGATATCTTCTCTGTAAATCCTTGATAAAAGTTCATAGTTATAAGCAGAGAATGTTAGAAAAACTTATTTTATATTTGATGATGTTTTGAGCAACTGTTCATCAGGTTTGAAACGAGTGGTATTATTTATCTTTAACATTCTGCGGACCACTATTTTACAAATGGAATACATGTAAATTCTGCAATGATTCTGTTAAATAGTCTTACATTGTGGTGTCATATACCTTTTTTGCTATACACTCATACATATTGACTTTGTTTCCAAAATCTGTGCAAAGCTACTATGGATTTCTGCACTAACTGTTCTTAATCTTGAACTGTTAACACTAGAGGAAGAGTAGTTAGTCAACAATAATGAATACTGCCTCTTAGATTTATTGACTAGTGAGATTTAACCATTACCGTTATAATGCACCGATAACACCAAAGTGCAGAGCACATTTTTCTTAGGCATCTAGACACAAACAATGAACCCTAAGATTCACCCTAACCACTAGACTATGTTGACCCCCATAATAACTGAGGTTCTTCACCATGTTAGTTGTGACTAATTCACATTATGACATATAAAACATTTCCATTGGGTATTCCATTTTAGCCCTGGAAACCCACTAGTGTTGCTGGGCTCTGTAGAATTCTTCGGGTTATCGTGCTGCTATCTACAAGATATAGCATTCAATACCATTACAGGAATACCCCTTTGGGGATGAAAGGGGGCTGTCAAACACTGCTATAAGTTTTCCATTCTAGAAGTATCAGTGAAAATAAACTTTTTATTATTAGCACCAAACCTAAAACTCTTTGTGAATCTGTAGCTGCAAATGCTGGGCCTTTTTTTCTAACTTACATGTAATATCGTAAGCACCAAAATCTAAATAAAAGACGTGACATGCTAACTATGCCTGTATACTCAGATCATTGCAAGTTGTAGCTGTTTAAAAATGTAATAAAAATATTTATTATATTGTGTTAAATATTTACCAGTCTACAGCCATTCTCTGTCCTGTTCTAAGAGGAGGTAAATAATTACAAACATTATAATTCTTTAAGTAAAAAAAATTCAGTAAATGACACAGAATATGGTAACACTGAATTCATTCTGTATGAAGGGTCAACATGAAAAGTTTTTAATGTTCCACCCTACAATAAAATGACAAACAATCAAAATCAAGACAAATAAAGCCATTTACCATTACAAATTATTTTAATATTTCACTACCCTTGTTTGATCTATTACACGTATACATGGAGCAACAAACATTAAATGAGAATACAATGCCTGTACTCATCCAATGTACAGAATATTACTAAAGGTCTGTACAGAATCATTAATAACAATTAAATGTGGTTAACAGACTGATCATTTGAAATGGACAAGGAATAATAAGTATGATTTAATGAGATTGTAATGTATATATTTATATAAAACAACATATCAGAGATCCATACCTATACCACAATTATCAACATAGTAGGTAGGTCTGATGCAGTCATGTATTAATATTAGTTTTCAACACAGCTTGCTGTTTGAATATGTTCTTTACTTCACCTACACAAGGAAAATAGACATTTAAAATCAATTCTGTACAAAACTAGCATGGACCAGTAAGTTTTTAAAAAATAAGATTCACAGATTGTTTTCACAACCACCATGCAAACATACATCATTTATGTGCATCACAGTTCATATGAGTACAGTTATTGTTACTGTTCTTCACAGATACCAAAATGTATTTTCGGTAAGGCTGGTCATCACAGATGTTTCCACATAACTGTGGTAGCATTTGGTCCTTTTCATTTGTTAGAAGTCTTATTGCATGCAAGAAAAAATAAAACTTCTAGTGGTGCCTTAAACCTGAGAAAAGTTTTTAAAGCCTTCTACAGGTTTTGGTATAAAAATTTGCTAGAACAAATAAGCCATGCTTTATATTACACTATCTTGAAGAAGAAAAGCATATGAATTTACTTCCAGTTTATTAACTTGTCACATAATGCATCACTGAAAATCAATACAGATTTTGGTGGGTTCCTTATAGTGTTAAAAATACAAAATAGACATATAAATTCAAGTAATAACAGTAAAACATAAAATCAAATAAGTATTCATCCATAATACTGAATGTATAAAAAGGTGACAAGTATAATTTTTTTTACAACTAGCAATTACTACCAGAAGTACACTTGGACACATTACAATAATTAAGATTACTTTAAAAGGATGTTCATTAATAAAGATTTTAAAATTAACTATTGAAATAAATAAAGTTAGTTAAACTACATATAATAAGCTACTGCCTGCCTACTGTTTTTAATAGGAATACAGAAAAATTGTAGAGAGAAATCAATACAGTTGATAATTCTGGATTTGATTGTAAGTGTGGTTTTGATTATTAATAATAAAATATATTGTTGGAGATAAACATACTGAAATATCAGGTTAATACTTCTCTACTTCAATAAAAAAAAAAAAATGACATGGCCTATACAACATACTGAATTTGTATGCCCATATTACAATATATATAATTCTTGTTCTCTTAATGAAACAGCATAGTTAAAATACTTCAGAACTATTTTAATTCAATTTGAAAGTCTTTATTCAAAGGCCCCTGTAAATAGTGACAATCAGAGCAAATAAATATTTTACAGAAGAAGGGCTATATCTAAAATTACTAGCACTAGTGGCAAATAAGTCTTTTTAACTTTATTCTTTTGCTAAATTTACTGTTCCAGAATTTTGTCAGGAGCAACTTCCATAAGCTATAAACAGTTCCAATAAAACTTAAGTATCAAGTACAGTAAAACAATTTTCAAAAGATATTAGTTAGTACACTGAAGTTAATTTCTTTTGTTCCACATATAATACAGAAACACTGTACCATTATCAATAATAATACTTAAACATAGGTTCATAGTTTAAAAAAAGTTCTTTGTAAGTATCAGTATGTGTTGAACTTTTTCTTTATAATGCCATAAGAATAATTAGGAGTTTTTGATATATTTCATCCTTAAAGGGCAGTAACACACAGAACACCCTTCTCTGTTTTCATTTTTAAAATGAACACTACAATAGTCAGAAGGATTCTGTTAACTGTTCTTCACTTTTCCACCTATGTTTCACAGTTAAAGGATAATGGTAGGCATTTGGCAAATTGAATTAAGTCTAAAAAATCACAAATTTTTTTAAAGAACATCAGATTTTAACCCATAAACTACCACATGAAAATTCCAATTGGTTGGTTTTTTAATGAAATCATTTAAAAGTAAAATGCCCATTTAAAACTAAGCTGAATAGGTGTAAATGACTTAGTGTTAAAGCTTTGAAATATATAGCATATGACTATCACTAGCTTAGGTGTAAAAGGTGCAGGCAAATGAACAGTGTATAGGCTGTTATTTAATGGTCTAATTTTAAGTGAACCACATTCACACAACATGGAGCAAAATTAAAAAAGTGATACAAATATTTTTTCTGTTGTGTTTAAGTTAATCAAACTGAGCACACAAGCTCAAATATATAAAATGAAAGTGAAATAAAGAACACACATATTCAATCAGGTTCGTTGATACAAAACCTTTAAAGCCCTAAAACAAGCAATATTAAAGCTTACTCGTTTCAGTGAAATTATTTATTTTCTTTCATTAACAAAAATTTAATTTTCAAATATTATCTTTGCATTATTCCAATTTTATGGGGATATGTAATAGAAGCTAAAACCATCACTACCTATGCCATTGTTCAGCCCCTTCACTGAATCTGAATAGTTTGAGTGTGAATAGCAGTATGTGATTTAACAAAATCATTAACAATTTTAGATGCTAATGAAGCGAAATGTAATGCACCTTTAAAGATATATGTAATATCTAAACATATAAAGTTGATGAATTCTTCAAGTTTGGAAGATATCTAAGTTTTACCACTTCAATGTAACATATAAAGGCTCAACTGAGCAAGGGGTTCATTTTCAATGAATAGTTGATTAGTGTGATAAGGCTCATTTCCAGCACTACTCTTTAAACTCAGCATTTCTGGGTAGTTTTACTAAATTTCCAACACTGAAGAAACCTGTTTTATGAAAAGTTACTGACATAAAAACTACTGTGCTTTAATGAAACTGAAACAAAGCATGTAGAACTGCAGTTGCAAGCTGTTGTAATTTTTTAAGCCTAATGCACATAAAAAGTTTGGTTGTAGATGGTATTTTATAATCAAAATTATTCTGTAGATTTAATGTGAAATCATATTCCAGTGTTCATTCAAAATATAATGTGAAAAAAGCTTTGCACTATAAAGAGATCTACTGAACAAATTACATTTATACTACAATTCCCTGTTTAAATGGTTATTCACAGACATTTTTATTATACCAAACAATCTTATTTCAATCTTTGCTTTTATCTTTTGTACATGGCACATATTAAATTTACTAAGGTATTTCCTTCAATAGTTTGATCAAAACTGCAAATTATATGTGTGTGTGTGTATATACGTATATATATTATATATATAAATATCATAATCCAGTTCGCTAAATTTTTCTCTCCATCTTTGCCTATAGCAGCAATTAAGTTAGCTGTGAAAAACTAATCAGCAGCATACAGGTCCAGGTGATAATTAGTACATTGTAATTAACTAGTACCAATATTGTTGTTAAATGAAAAAAAGAGTTATATAAGTGAATCTGATCATTGAAGTTGGCTATTAGATGTACACAAAATCTTAACAATCTTACATTCATGTCACAATATTTTGGATTTCATTACTACATAAAAAATCTGATACGTACCATATACACACACACACTTAGTTTTGAGTAGTTATAATTATATACATCATACCATTAAAATCTAATCATTCTAACACATTTAGCAAATGTTCTTGGCTCTGATCCTTAAGACTTGAACACCATAATATCACTGTGACACAGAAACTTGATCATGGTGACTTGCCACTGAAACATGCCTATGCAGTAATTCCTAAACACTGGAAAGTACTGTTGAAAATATTATATCAATCCATATATATCCCTCAAAATGAGAAGTATGATTATTAATAAGAATGTTATTCGAGAAGGAACAAAAATAAATATCATCATAGATTTGTGGGGTCTTTTAATTCATTCAGTTTCCAGGAATATTTATGCAAGCAGGCAGTATTAAATTAAATTAAATATATGTTAATTAAATCAAGTGCCCCTTCTAAATAAACAAGTAATATTAGGTGACTTATAAATACTGTTATTACTAAAGAATAACATTATTTATTAAGTACATAATTCTAACATGCACGACAAAATAGATGTTAAAGGTATTTCATTATGATCTCTGCTGTTAAGAAATATGATTATTCTTTCTTTAGTGACTAGTTTTAACAAAAAAATTGTCATATTTCAATCAAGGGCAACGACTTGGATGTTGAAAATCTTGTCTTGTTAAGATTCTAGAATTGGTAAATCACTTTACACTCTTTAATGAAAAAAAAATTAGTTAAAATATCAAATAAAATTATTCTACACACCAAAATTGTAATAAAAAATTCCACAATAATAGTCCACTGCTTTATAAATATTAAAGCAAATGTTACATGAGCAGGTTGAACATAATTTTATTTTTATTTTCTAGAGAAAATTGATTTGTATCCAGCACAACAAAAGAATCAGAAACACTGTAACACAGCTTACATTTACCAAAATAACAATAAACATCATGACCTACATTCTGAATAACTATTAACAAAAAACTGCATTGAATGTCAAGCAAAATTTAAATGAGCTACAACTCAAGTCTAGGTATAACACCTTAAAAAAGAAACAACTGCTCACATTCTTACTCATAATCTATTATAGTAGCTGATACAAAAACAAACTTTGTCTAATTGCCCCAAGTATCAGTTAATAAATACCTAAAAATGCCAACTAGAATTTTAAAAAATGTTGCATTAAAACCCATAATATGCTGAACGAAACCCATCCTCAGAAATTAGTCTTGCACAACACAACACTTTGTATGTTTAACTGTATATTACAACTAATTATTGTTACCTTTATATGCAACTAATATACAAAAGTTAAAGCTTTGAAACATGAACATGTTTGGATATCCACTGATAATACGAGTTTCTTAAATCCTCTAAAATCTGATAACCTACTTATAAAACAGAAACCCTAAAAGATACTTTCAACAAAGTTATCAATGTCTGTAGGGCAGTGAGAGACATGTTAATTTGTTTCAGTGTTTTCTGATGATATTGCAGCACAATTAATATGTATCCCACTTTCTGAAATGTGTATTTCACTAACTCAAACATAGGTCTGGTATGTGCCATGCAATAAGTATGGCATGAAACCAGGTGTTGAACTAAGCATATTGGTACCAAGTATATTTAATTTTTTTTCTTAATACCACTTTAGTTGATACCCCAAGAAGCTAAGACTTCTTCTTTATGAAGTTATTTAAAGTTCTGATGCTAGCTAGGGATAGTAGGGCACTTTGGTAAAAGTTGTGTTGTGTGGGAAGTGGTCATTTTTTGTCTCCTGGACTGGAAGGCTCAGAATCACTACCGGAGTAGTCTTCAGAGGGTGTACTAGTTGCTGGACGAGATGGAAAATCCAAAGGAGATCCAATGCTGGATTGCCTAGAAAGGCCTTGTGCTCTTGCCATTGCCATGGCAACCTCCATGTCAGCTCGATCGTAAGAGTTGGATGTCTCACTTGATGCAAAATAAAATTTGTGATTTTTTAAAATATCATTCACACAGCAAAACTAAAATATTTAGTGCAATAACAAAAGAAATACTTTTTTAAAGCAACCAAAATAAAACTGTAGCACTTATAAAAGCTATAAAATATTTTCATATCATGAAAATTATGTCATTACATTGTATTGCCGCAAATCTTTTTTTTTGGTTTTAATAATAAAACATGTCTCAACAAGGATAAATATAGGTTTATCAATAACTTAATAAATTCTGTGGACCAATGAAAGAAATTTAGTGTCCTAAGTTTCGCAAGGAAATTGAATCAATATTAATATAACCTTCCAAATATAAAGTATGTGGATGCTAATATACTCATGTTATGCCTAACCTAATTTATCCTACAGTATGTTTTAGGCTGCATTAAAAATGTAAAGCTAAGAATAACATATTTTTTGCAGTACTCATCTTGAATGTTAAAAACTTACTGTTGTTGATATCTGCACCTATTTTATTTTTTTCTCAGATAAAAAAATCTTTCCAACAGCCTAGGAGGAGTAAGCTGGGTTTTCATGTTGTTTAACACCATTTACGTAAAAGGTCTAATTTAATTTTGTAGAAGACATGATACCTCTAATTATATTAAGGTATGTTGTAAATACAAATTGTGGTGTTTTTTTTCTGACTCTTTGGATTATACAGTTCTCATAGAAAAGACACAAAACTGAAGACAGATTTTCATTATGTAATACATAATTCTCTGTTTTAGCTCTAAAACATCCACAAAGCTTTGAAATTTCATAAAATATATTGAACTGTGTATGAGCATAAAATATGTAGTTAAACAGTTACTGCAGACTGACACATAAAAAAAGCAAACATCAAACACAATACATATAAATTTGAATAAAATCTTTCTGTTTGGAAATGTCCACAATTCTGCATACATTGTATATTACTTGGTTCAATATGAAATATTTAAGAAAGACTGCTATATTATTTACTATAATCAAAAGTAATACAAACCCACAAAGTACAATGAATATATGTATATGTACAACACAAAGTCAGTCATAAGCTGCACATAATAAACCTGATGAAACTAATATGCGTGTGTCATTTAAATTCAAGTGAAATGTAGGTCTAACACATGTTCAACATGTTATTAATAATGTATTTTTCTTGTTGCCTATTGTACTTACGTGTTTTACAGACATTATTTCTAAATCAACAACATAGCTTTTAGTCAGGATGACATACAGTCCACAAGAATGTACAAATTCAGTACTTTTTGATCACAAAATGTTTCTACTCTAAAGCTAGTGTTACCATTTACCTAGTAAATAATGAGGGGATTCCCCACTGTCACACCACTGCTCAGTTTAATCCAAAGATCACCTTGTTCACAGTCAGTTTTAATATATTAGATAGTAAGTTATTATGAAGTATTATTCAGTGTACAGTTAATCCAAATTTTGATTAGACTAACTTTCCAGTCAAAGCTGACTGTGGTCAGGAAGGGAGTTGCTTACATCTGTATGCAGTTGGTTTTATATGGGAATATTACCCACTGCTCCAAATTGACAATATAAAAAATTTGTTGACTTTGGATATAAAGATGATATACTGTGGAGTACGGTGAAATTAGTTTAAGCTCTTATATAAAAAAACAAACTTTTGACTCCTGTTACTCAAGAAATGTTATTTAGAAATGTTCCCTATAAAAGATTAAAAACAAACATAGAATATTGAATTGTTACACAATAAAATTAACTTTATTCAAAATGGGGTACAACCCTAAAAGCACTACATGTTTCGATGGAGCACTGCACCCCATCGAGTCTAAGACATTTCATGTGACATGGACTTTTTTGTTACAAAAAACATTTCATTACAGCATCCAAGTTACTGTTTTATTATTATGAAAAGTTTTTTATATGTTTTTGTAATTTGTGAATTTTGTTACTAGATTCACCAACTTTTGGTAGTCAAGTACATACCTCAGTATATATGTACAATGTGACTGAACAAGTTATTATACAAAGATGATACATGTTTTACATTTGCAAATGTTCAGGTTATTAAATGTGCTTTGAATTCAAACTAAAGTATGTTAAATTACAATAAATGTTTTTGTAGAACTAAATCGTTTTCACTGTTTTACGTTACACTGTTCATGACACCCCTACCATCTGTAACATATCATAATACAGGGTTAGACACCCTCTTCACTCCCATAGCATTATGTAATTTTTGAGTAGTTCCCAAATGACTGTACAATTTATAACCTATTATCATATTTTATTATTGTCACCAATCAATTTTATATTTAAAAAACTACCTGTCACAAAATCAGTATTCATAACAAAAAATACTATGTCACTAAAATGATGTAACAGGAATGCACCCCTCACAAGTTGCCCTACTAACAATGTGGTGGTAACAAAATGTCTGGATCCCTCCCCACCATCAGAAGTAATAGTAATAGTTAAATTCAGATACTAACTTGTATACCTAAATAACCTTCAGTTTACACAAACTACATTACACCCTCAGTGGCATCTTGACCTGAAACATAATTACATCAGCCCCCCCCCCAAAGCTTTACAAAGCATATTTCCAGTATTTTATCTTTCCCTGTCCTTAACCAAAGTCTTTATGCAAAATAATATTTTTAATACTTGGATTCATCAATTTATCTTGTTTCCAGTCTTGAATCAAATGAAGTTTAAGGTGGAACTAAATATTACAGAATTGGTAGGAATTGAGAAAAAAAATATTATTTTGAGTAAAGATTTTGTTGTATGTGAGGAAGAAATGAAATACTGGAAATCTGTTTTGTAAGCTTTTTGGGAAGGGTTGGTGTAATTATGTTCAGGTTGAGATGGTGTTAAGGGTGTAAAATGTAGGTTTTTCTCTGATTTTAACTCTCACTCCTGATGATGGTGGTGTAAAGCATGGCTGAATTTTTTGGGCTGTGCCCTGTTTTGATTATCCCTCATCAACACACCTTTCGAAAGTTACGTTGTGGAACACCTGGGGTCCAACCAGACCCCAGCACAAAATTATCATTATAGTAAGCTCTGGATTGAAATTCCAAAAATCAATGGCATTAAAACTTTTATTAGGGTTAGCATGCAATGTGAACAACATAAAAATATATGTATTCTAGAGGAATATGTTGACAAATCAAGAAATACAAAATTACATTGCTCATCAGTATACAAATAAGTAGTATTAAACCATTCTTTACACAAACAGAGTATCAAAAAAATGCTGAAGTTCTATTATACTCCTATATTCAAGTCATTATCCACCAACATATGATGAGATTACCACAATACTGCAAAATTCAACTTACAGAAAACTGAAAGTGTACATTGTAGGTCACCTTGGATCTGACCAGACCCCAACACAAATGTACCTTTATAGTAGGCTATAGATTGAAAATCCAGTAATCGGGTTATTTACAACAATTATCAAACAAGGTTTCTATGAAATAGGGCATTGTAAGCAATCATCACAGAGAACAGTTGTTGAGGAATGAGATGTGCATACATACTTACCACAGTGATGTTATAAGCAAACATACAAGATGATACTGTACTACTTTGATGGATTATCTTCTACAGTAGCCTATATAGTGAAATAAACGTTTAGAAATTTGTTTCATATGCTATATGGGGGACTGCATGTATAGTGATGGTCAATAATAGCATAGGGTCTGCATGGACCCCAGATAAATATTAGATTATAGCTACGTACTCCATCTACCCGTTTCGAAAACAATAGTGTCATATTTGTAATGATTATGTAAAAAGATATACAACCGAGAAATTTGTTGGGAGTCTGTGTGGACCCCAGATGTGCTGATGAGGGTTAAAGGTAATTTTATTATGCAACAATTAATGTTGTACGTTTGTTTTTAATCTTTTATCTGAATTTATTTATGGTTGGAAAACTAAATTGCAAGATGAAATAAAAAATTGTATACAATACTTGCATTCAGAGCTTCTGACTGGTGGATAAAATAGACTTTAACTCTTCACAAGTGAAAAATATTATTGGAAAATATAATGCTGAAATTCTGAAATAAGGTGTTTAGTTATATCTTTAAGATTAATAAGAAAATGGGTGGTAATCCTGATTTTAACATTAACGTATCTTAGCTGGAAGTATACATTTCCCTGAGAGAAAGTGTCACAGAAAGAAAGAAATACCACATTTTGACTTTATACATACATGGAAATATCTTGGAAGATTTTCTCTAACAGAAAATCAAGTCTGACTTTTCTTTAAAGAATGTTGAAGAAACCTCGAAAGGCAATGAGCTCTTTTGAGAATCTACTCCTAGATTATTTTCTTAGCCAGAATTTTATGAGATAAAGTGTCAGGCTAAGATGTCAAATAATGTAGAATTAGTACAGTTGTATATTTCACTAAACATGATTGTTAGAATTAGGTCTCAATTGTCAAACTAATAACAATGTTGTTGAAGAAATCTTGAAAGATGAGCTCTTCTGATAATCTCTTTCTAGACAAAAATGTTTATTTTCTAAATCTATTTATAAATGTATTTTTCTGAGTAAGAAGTAATAGAAATACCATGCTGTCCAATAAGGATTACTTATGTCAAATTAAATTCCTACCCAAAGGCATAGGTATAATAAAATACCTGTAAAAAATATATATATTTAAGGATATAAACTGGAAACCACCCTATGATCAATCTCTGCCCACCTACCATTCTCAATAAAATATACCTTGACGTTAGTACGAGTGATAAAATTAATGTCAAACAATATAATTTGTTTTTCACGTTTTTTTCAATGACAATGTTTATGCCACAAAACACGAAGTTGACGATCTGTTAGATTCAGTCTGCAAATGAACAACATAGGTGCTAATACAAGCTGACATAAAACAGTCACTACTTATCACATCTGAAAGTTATAAATTCCCCTTACCCTCCTTGCCCAGCATGAAGCCCATCTTCCAGTTCCATACCAGCTAGTAAATCTTCATTACCTCGATACATTTCTGGAAATAATAAAATAAAATCATAACAACAACAGAGTTTTACATCACTTTTTTCTTCAATTTTACATCCTTTCAATGGTTCAATACTTCACAATATTTAAACATTTTTGTTTTAAAATTGGAAATGCTATCAAGTTTTAAATAAAATTCCATTTAACATGGTGTTAAGCAGTTTCAGATCCTGATTGTTTAGAGGTTAATTACCCCAAACAGTTAATAATTTGTTAATATTACACTTAACATCTTCCCATTCTTTTTTTTAGAGGTTAATTACCCCAAACAATTAATAATTTGTTAATATTACACTTAACATCTTCCCATTCTTTTGTTTAGAGGTTATTTACCCCAAACAATTAATAATTTGTTAATATTACACTTAACATCTTCCCATTCTTTTGTTTAGAGGTTAATTACCCCAAACAATTAATCATTTGTTAATATTACACTTAACATCTTCCCATTCTTTTGTTTAGAGGTTAATTACCCCAAACAATTAATCATTTGTTAATATTACACTTATCGTCTTCCCATTCTTTTGTTTAGAGGTTATTTACCCCAAACAATTAATAATTTGTTAATATTACACTTAACATCTTCCCATTCTTTTGTTTAGAGGTTAATTACCCCCAAACAATTAATCATTTGTTAATATTACACTTATCGTCTTCCCATTCTTTTGTTTAGAGGTTATTTACCCCAAACAATTAATAATTTGTTAATATTACACTTAACATCTTCCCATTCTTTTGTTTAGAGGTTAATAACCCCCAAACAATTAATAATTTGTTAATATTACACTTAACATCTTCCCATTCTTTTGTTTAGAGGTTATTTACCCCAAACAATTAATCATTTGTTAATATTACACTTACCATCTTTCCATAAGACATATATGTATTTATACTTGATGCAAAGGGTAAGATTCAAATAAAAAAAAACACTTAGGAAGCTGGATAATTAACTTTAATACACTTTGTGGAATTACAAAAATTGCAACAATTAAGAAAAGGTTTAGCAAAATGTGAATTACAACTAGGGTATAATAATGAAAAAATTTCCAATTCCTTTCAAAGAAAATTGATACATACATTTGATTAAATTTCAGTCAATAGCATTCTAGTGGCTTGATATATGGAGAAAATTAATTATCATAAATATAAAAACTTTAACAATAACAGCAATCAAACCTACTTTTTTCTTATAGGTTTTAACTCATTTATATGATATATAAGGTTTTTTATTGCACATAGTAAAACTAAAAACCTACCTGAAGTTCATTAAATAAGTATTTTAGACAAAGAACAATGACATATTGTAAATATTTTCATACTCTAGTATAAAGTTCTTGTATTTATTCAAGAACATTTTTTTATAAGTAATATAAATTCAAAGACTCAACCCATATATATCTGTCATGGACAAAATATCCAGTAATAAATCAAACTAAGTTAAGACAAATTTTCAGTACTTTAATTGGAAGAAAAATTCAAAATAAAGAAAATAAAAAACTTAAAACAGTACTACATCCACTGACAGAGTGGCTTTCCTCTGTGAAATAAAAACATTATTTACTTCTTAAAGATTTTCAAGCTACACAATTTTTGTATTTTGTTTCTGTTTTTCTCAGAAGTTTTTGTCTGTAAATTTTTTTTAATTACAAAAAAAGTCCTCTTAACTTTTATTTTTGTATACCACCAATATTAAACCATACTTTTTATTGATTTAGCTTTGTTTACATAAGTGTACACATTATACTTCCTTTTAGTCATTACTATAGAAAAAGTTTATTTTTCATTTGGTTCCAGTAAAACTAAAGAGAAACTCACGGACAACATAAGACTCCAAAGCTTTTGGTACCAACTGCCGTGCTTCATTCAGGTCTTCAAGTGAACATGCACCCTTATCTAGATTGTAAGCTAATTTCATTCTCTTTAAAACTTCTATATCATCATGGATCTCAAAAGTGTTGTCAAAATTGAACAGATACTCCGTCCTGAAAAAACAAACAAAAACATTAATTTAACAACTTCAAAAACATGTAATGACTTTTTACTGTAGCACCTCTACAGTAAGATATTTTTAGTTCTACACTGACATCATATTGCAAAAAAAACTTTTTAAAGAAAAATTTGATGATGGAGTATTATCAACTTTTTTTTGAACAAATCATATTAATTTTGTTTTAACACAGAATGTATACATCTGAACCTGATCTACAAGTAATCGTATGAGACTTAGAAGTATGACAAACAATGAAAACAAGTAGTAAGTAGTTAAAACTGAAAAGTCAGTACTCACTTATCACTGGATATACTGCAGTCAATCACAGTGCTTCTATGTGTATTAATAACTATAAAAGGCAACTGGATGGTGGTGTTTGGTGCAGGAACGTTCTGTTTTTTTTCCAACTCTTTATTTCGTTTCACCAAGTTTTTGAAAGAAATTTGCTAAAAATATTTAAATTAAACATAATCAAATCACCAAAAGGGATAAATCTATTAGTGACAGTTCTTATCATTTGAAAGAACAGTAGCTCTACTTGTAATTGTACCACAAGAAGTTATTTGATTGTGTACTAGAGCAGCATTTCTTAACCTTTTCAATATCAAGAACTGGTTTGCTGCCTCTCTAAACTGTCTCAGACCATTAAAATGTAAATCCAATGAAAATTTATTACAAGTCTCATACAAATATTTTGTCAGTTTTTGTTTTTTGCTTGTTTGTGTGAAATCCCATGGACAGGCAAGGTGGATGTGATAGCCTGGTGCCAGTCTGCAGATAGGTGGTTGAGAAACACTGTACTACAACATGGCATTAAGCACAACGTTTTGCTTTCAATGGTGATCACTTTCTCAAAATAAAGTATATAAAGAGGTTTTAACAAAGAGGCTCAATCTTGTTATAATTTCTACATTTAAAAATTTTCTTTGATGGTTTTATTTTATTTCTTTTTTTATTCAAAACTTTTTATAACATGACTCATTTTTAATTTACCTGTAATAAAAGGTCTTGTAGCTGTTGTTTTTTCATTTTTATCCTTTCTAGTCTTTTCTTTTTTTCTATCTGAAAAATGAAAATGAAACACATGCTACACGTTTCAGTTACTTATTTTCAGTTGTTAACTTAATGCAAGATTTTGCATAAATTATACATAAAAATATTCTACAAACAATTTTAACTCACCCAGTTGCAGTTTTAAGTTGTTATAAAATCAGATAACTCCATGCTAATTAGAAAATTTTCTCAAAAATAAAAAAATATTATTCTTCAGGATGATTAACGCATGAACAAAAAACCTTCACTAGTAAATCATGGGAGCTTCAAAAATTAAATGTGCTGTATGTGTGTATTAATGCTGATGATGTGCCAATCATGTGCACACGACACAGGAGTGGTTATTACACAATGTTTAAAAAAATACTTCTATATGGTCTGACAAAAAAGTAATAATAATTAAAGCTACTACAAAAATCAACCAGAAAACTATTAAGCAACTTAGTCTAGTGTAAAGTTTGTTAAACATTTTATACTTTGAATAGAAGTACGGTATAATTTCCCATTAATCAGTAAAATAACTACCATAATTATTCACTAAAATTATAAACTTTTGCTTTAGGTTCATAGATAACTTTGTAGCTTAAATGCTTGCAATTGAGCTTGTAAACATAGCTCTCATGTCTTAGGCCTATGAATTTGTTGTATATATAATAAACTACTTTTGTTCCTACCATATTGAAGCACAGCTGTCTGCAATTTGATAAATCTCCATTACAAAAGTATATGGAAATTTTAGTACAATATTCTAAATATTTGTAAAGGCATACAACAGTTTACTTCATTAGCATGACATACAAGATGTAATAAGATTAAGTTATATACTGTTGTACGCTATATTTTTTATTATTTAATGTTTTTGTTCAATAAAGTGAGTTTTTTCTCCATCTTATACTTGTGGTAACACTGCTACCACTGAAATATCACTGACATTTGCATCTCAGTGGATCTTCCAAGAGTTGAGTTTGGTAATATAAGGATAATGGTTAATTCTCTCTTCAGTTTGTTCAACACTTGTTCACAATCAGCAGTCAACAAAACTTGTTTGGTTTTTCAAGTAATTTATGTAGAGGATGAGCTATATCAGAGAATGACAACTGGAGCACAACTCAAGAAATCCTCTTACCTCATGCAAGTTCTTTGGTTTGGTCAATTATGAACAGATTCCATCTTAGATGGGTCTCTAGACATTCCTTCTCTGCTACCTATGTGTCCCAGGAAACTCACCTGTTGGAGGAACAACTCACACTTTTGGGATTCAATTTAAGTTTCTCTTTCCTCAACTGATTCAGACCTTTCCTTAACCCATCATAAGCATTACCAATGGTCTTCCTGTGTATGATTATGTCATCCAAGTACGTGAGTACAACATTCCAGGGTGGTTCAAAGAAAGCATATTCCATTAATTATTGAAATGTAGCAGGTGCTTTATATAATCCAAATCATAACAACAATCCATTTCCAGCATTGAAGGCTTTCATCTTTCTACTTGCTTCTTTGATGTGCTTGCCAATATCCAATCTTCATATTCAATGTTGAAAACCATTTTAATCCAGATGGAACATTCAAAATAGAGTCAATCCTTGACAGTGTGTTCTTTGTGACTTCATTCACCTTCTGGTAATCTACTCAGAACCTAGTGAATCCATCCACCTTCCTTAACAAATACAACAGGTAGATGCACAAGGACTAGTATTTCTGTTATTCCATGTTCCTTCTAGACATGGGTGATTAGTGTTTTTTGCTAATCAATTAATTGATGGGCTCACTAATTTTCAGATTACCTTTCCTTCATATGTTTTGCTAAAAAAACAACTTGGCACAAATTTTTTATATTGAAAATGAAATAACTAACAAAAACATTTTACTTGCACCAACTTCCAGTCATGTGACTTCTTTGTTTCATACTTGTGTTTATATATTTCTGTATGCAGATGAAGTTAACTTTATTAAAAACATTGTATACATTTGTTCCTGTGTTAAACAGCTTTCTTTGTTACCCATTCAATACCATCTCTAAATTGCACAAACTTATCAGAAGTTATTTGATGTCTTCTCTTGAAGAAAATGTTTTGGTAGCTTTCAAACAAATATAATTTAACACATAAATAAATACTATATTACAGTTTCTGTATAGCTGCTTTCAAAGCTGTTTCATTAGTAAATGATCAAATCACTTGATGTGGCCCCATAACAATGTGGCAATCAAGGCCTGTACAAAAACTAAGGGAAATGCTTAAAAATTAAGAAATGGGTATAAATTTATAAAGTGGCAAACAAATTTGAAAACCTAAAAAAAACCTTGTCTTCTGACTTCAGGTACACTGATTTAGGATTAATTTTTTTTTAAATTTTAAACTTTGTATATGAAAATATATCATACAAACAACCAATGTAACTATTTTTTAACCTTTAGAAATAATGAAACATTTATTCACTTGTTGCAACAGTACTATATACACTTTTCCAGACAATTCAACATTGTTTTATATGTTCATAAGCTTATTTATAACAATGTTGGAGCCTTAAGTATTGTACCTACAACTACACAGTTATACTCAAATGTTTTGTAACCAACCAAGGTGAAATGAATAATCATAAGTGACTTTATTTATTAGGTATATGTGTACCTAATTCAAAGTGAAAAACCTGGTAAATTTGGTTATTCTTCAAGTAGCATAAATTTAAAGTCAAACAATATAAACAAGTTAAAATTAAAATAACATCAATTTATTTTTTAAATAAAACTTTATCTTAGAAAAACTAAACACCATTAGGGAATGAATAATAATAAAACAAGAAAGCCTATTCAGATATAATTGTATTAATGTGTTAACAAGTAACAATGTTTAACTTCTCCATACTAGCAGCAGTAATATTTCATTTTTACACTGACGGTATGATACCAGTTAACTTTTTTAAATAATAGCTTTGTGTAATGCTATAATCAAAGTTTCAGTATTTTTTACATGAAAAAAAGAGACTTCCAGTATAAAGGCATTTTTGTTTAATCAGTTTTGACCATGTAGTCCTAAAATAGCTTAAATAAGTGAATCAAATACCATTAATATATATATTCTGTAAATGATTAGATCAGTCAGGTTACGATCAGCAATTTCAAAGCTTTTGTTTATTTCTAGTAATGTGATTAATATGAAAATAAAAACAATTAAGAAACATTTCAATATCTTAAAATTAAAAGCTTTTAGGTCTACAGTCATACTACTTGGGTTTTCATTTATTTTAGACATCAACAATATGAAAAACATCTTTCTAAGAGAATTCTCATTTTTAAACAATGAAAAATAAATTATGTAAGAGTCTATGTTATAAGAGCTTCAGGTGTCCTAAACAAACTTAACTGATGAAAACAAATTTCTGAAACCTAGACAACACTATTAGAGCCTGGAAAAATTCAAAGAATAAAAATTTACAACAATAACATTTAATTGATGTTCTTGTTGCTGTACTAGCTCAGAAATAATAAGTTAGTGACTGAGGCCTTGGGTGGATTGCTGAATATTCCAGCTGTGTTGATTTCAGAAAACCTCAAAAAAAGTGTTTATGGTAATTAATAGCCCAATTAAAGAAAAACATTGACATATAATGTTTATTTTTGATAAGATATGGTAGTAGAAGGACATATGGCTATATTTTTTATTAGCTTCTAAAAAAAAAGCAGACCACCTGAATCCCTCTCCTAAATCCACGCCTGGTTATATAATATTAAATAATACAGTTATGCAATTATAAGTTAGAAACATAACACAGTATAAAAAAATACTATATTTAACATTTAAGTAGCCAAAGAGTTGGCAGTGGGTGCTGCCAGCCAGTTGAGCAGTTCAAAATTAGTGAACAATGGCAGACAGCCTTAATAGCTTTGCCATAACAAAGACAGGGCAAGCAAATTTTTCCGGCAATTGTAATTGAACCCAAGAAATGTCAAAGTAATGAATATTAGCCAAGCCCCAATTTAAGCACTAAAATTTTGAATACTAGATGACTGTACAGTGTACCTATATCAATATATACAAATGTGTACCAAAAAATTCAAAATTCTGCAGCAAAATCACAAACAACTTGTTTTAATGACTTTGAAACCATGTAGCAAAAACTGCAACATTATAACAACATTATAAAAAAAAAAACGTCCCATACGGGGGAAGAAACATAGCTGCCACAGTGAAGGGGTTAAGCACTAAAACATCTTGATCAGCATTTTCACATGGAAATTTACCACTCAAAATTCAAACCATGAAACTTTGTCTGCATTTTCAAGACTTGCTGAGTAATTTTCCAAATGACAACTATCATTTCAGACTCTAGTTATCTGAACTAGATCACACTTAAACTAGTTATGCATCAAATTGCTCATGAACCTATATTTTTTGTTGGCTATGGGTTCCTAATAAAATGAACCACATTTACAAACTTAAATAAAAATACAATCAATATTGCAACTGATCTACATATTTAGTGCTAAAATTGCTTATATATCTTACATAGAAAATGTATTATTTCACTCAATTTGTTTGGTCAATTCTTTATAATAAGTGTTGTATGAGGCAAAAATATTACTCAATATGGCGCAATATCTGGACCAAAAGTCAATAATTTAAGGATAGCTTTTAACACATGCACCCTTTAGCATTTTCAGTCTATTTATTTATATTATACATTTAAAGGAGCAAGTCAAACTTTCTTTAACTTTTTAATGATGGAAATGATAGCATAATAAAGTTGAGCATTTATATTGCTCACGTACTATAAACGTTATTAAACATTTAAAAAAAACATGATTTACAAAATGTTTTGAATATACATTATGAGGATGGTATCCTACAACTCAGAAGCCAGATCATATATGTGGGTTTCACAATTTAAAATGTCATTAATTTCATTATTCACTTGAGAGCAATTTTGTAAGATTCATACTATGGCTCAATCTCGTTCATTTTAGCATTTTTACCTTTTTTCTTATTTATTAGTTTTTAAGGAGTGAAGAGGGCTTTTAAAATTAGCTAAGATACACCCAAAATTTCTTCTTGGAAAGCTTACAAATTGAAATCACTACTAAGTGCTGAGCCAAGAATAAAATGTAATTTTTTCTGTTAAAATGATCTTATTGAAAGTTTAAAAGAAAGACTAATAGTTCCATTATTATCCTCTTAAACATAAAAAGAAGCTGACAATATAGTCAGAATTATTAAGTCTACTGGTACAAAAACCTGGTCATCTGCATTTCTGGCATAAATGAAATTAAATAATATCTGTTAAATACATATTACAGGAATTGATGTTATTCTTTTAAGCTGTTAATCTCTTATATTTAATCTTACTGTTCCTATTCTTTACCAATTTCCAGTTTAATTGGGGTTTTTCTGGCTTGTGAAGGAACTGATTACTGGAAACTGTTAAGTTACTAAATCCTTTCTACACCTTCCTTACATTATGTTACTTTGACTTGTTTAATCTTGTTTATGTTATATTGTACAAATACTAAACTGATTCTCCTTAATTTCTTTAACATAATATTTCAGTATTAAAACACTGTTAATTTTTTGTGTTGGATTCTTTGATTAGTGAGAATTACTTCTAGGTAACTTACAGCAGTTGCTAAACATAATGCACTTCCAAGATATAAAACTAAGAGGTAGGTTGTTAAACAAAACTTTCTCTTGTAGGTTACAATACAAATGCCTTGTTGTTACATAGAATTTTACTTCTGTGCTACAACAGAAAGTATTACACAGAACTTTACTTAAGTTATTGCACAAACGAGTTGTTAAACAGAATTTTTATTTCTAGGTTAACTGATACAGAAGTTTGATATGTCACTTCTAAGTTATAATACATACAAGTAATTCACTAAGAAGAACTTTACTTCAGGTTTGTGATACAAAAGGGCTATCTATACTTTGACTTGTCATATGAAAACTATTTTCCAAAATAAACCAATTAGAGCTATAAAATTATCTAATAAACTTTCTTCTGTGTTATGAATAATTACCTCTAAGTTTTGGCATTCCTGAGCTGAGTTAGTAGGTAACCCTTGCCATTTGATCTCCTTCTTTTCTTTAGAAATAATGTTCATGGCCATCAGAACATTTAAAGCATCATAAACTCTTCTTCTGATATTCTTTTGGTCATAAGACTGAAACCATAAAATGTTATACTAACTGGCTAGGTTTGAATATACCAAAAATGCTAAAGTTATCACAAGTCTTTATTGAAGAATAGAATGAGTAAACACTAAACATAGATCCAGTTCCACATAATCATAAATGCTGAATGATCTAAGAAGGAAGCAGAATTTTTTTACATTACTTTCAGAAAAGATATGTTATTAACTCAGGATACTTTTTTCAGTCTCAAAAGAAATTACATTTTTTGCTATTGAAGTTGCATATATGTTCCCATATGGGAGTATCTATTTCAAATGTTGCAACTAAATTTTTTTTTTGGTACTAAAGGCATCAAATAATTCCTTATGAATGTTTTTCACTAGAAAAAATAACATACAAATGTTTTATTCAGATAAGTTTTAACATTTAATTTTATATGGTAAGTAATACAAAAATTAAAACAAAAAATTATCTTTAAGTTAACTAAATTTAACTAAAACTGATTTTCAAGTTTCTTAGCCCTTCTACATGTGATAAAAGTTTTATAAAATAAAGCATATATTATTTTACCTTCAAATTTTACAGTGCTCCAATATGGGAACGTTAAGTAGTAAAATGTTAATAAATACTTTTAACATTAACATTAGCACAGTGTTCTGTAACATTATCAAAAACATTTGCATGTCTCATTCTGAAGTTCATCTTTAACAAACTAATCTAATCTCCAAGTTGACTATAATTCTCTATATGGACTGATAATTATATTAGATTTAGCAGTACCTTCTTAAACCCATTAGCTTTGTTACTCTGTTCCACTACTGTAAATATAAGTGATTTTATTCTACTACATACTGTACAT